TCAATGTTTGATCCCAGGTATGGGAATTCTTTTACTATTTCTATGTCCTCATTGTCTAGGTTGAACTTGCGAAGGTCCTCAGTGGTCATTATGTTTATTTTCTTTATGTTCAACATTAAGTCTGCCTTTGCACTTTCTTCCTTGATCTTCCTTAGTACTTGTTCCAGGTCTGTGAGGTTTTCTGCTACTATTATGGTGTCATCTGCATATCTTAGATTGTTGATATTTCTTCCTCCAGTTTTCACTCCTCCTTCTTCTGTGTCCAAGTCTACTTTTCTTATAATATGTTCTGCATACAAAAGTATATAATATGTTCTGATACACAAGTATATATTGTAAGCTTGAGCTGGGAAAGAACAGGACCTATGTGATCCACTGTAGCAAATTGTATGTCTGCCTACAGCAGGAAAGGTAGACAGCAACTGACTCTAGAACCTCCATTTTGTGGATGTTTGAACAGCAAAACAGAAAGAAAAGGGGACTCTGCCTCTCCTGTTATCCCAGCATGTTAAAAAAAAAAAGCATAGATCTGCCATTCAGAATGAAACTCATAAGAAAAGTAGAGGCTGGTGAAAGAAAAAGTCATCCCTTTGATGCATTTTGGAAGAAACCTTCTCGTGGACTCCAGAACATTCAAAATATTTTTGTTTACTTCTTCAAGGCTCTTTGTCCTGGTTCTTTTGCATGTTCATATTGCTAAATTAAGAAAGAAATTGTGGAAACATGTTGAACAGCTAGCATCTTTCTTTCTTTCTTTTTTTGTGGTAGTGGTAGAAAGTGCCACTACATTTGATAGTCCTGATGAAAAATCTGTACTTAGGCCAAGAGGCTACTGTTAGAACAGAATATGGAGAAACAGAATGGTTCCTAATTGGTAAAGGAGACAGATAAGACTGCATTTTATCATCCTATTTGTTCAACTTGTGTGCAGAAAATATATGAAAAGCAGATTTAGACTGAGAAGGAAGAATAAAGACAGGAGGAAGGGGCATCTAATATATGAGGATGACACCATACAACTAGCAGAAAACATCAGAGACTTGGAACAATCACTAAGGAAAGTTAAAGAAGAAAGTGTAAAGGCGGCCTTAATGCTGAACATAAAGAAAACAAAAATAATGACCACAGAGGATTTACAGAAATTCAACGTACACAATGAGGAAATCAAGATATAGATTACCCATACCTTTGATCAAAAATTGATCAGAACGGAGGCTGTATTCAAGAAATCAGAAGAAGAATAGGGCTTCTATGAAAGAACTAGATAAGATGCTAAAGCATAAAGATATAAAACTGAGCACTAAAGTTATAATCATCCAATCCATTGTATTTCCCTTCACCCTGTATGGATGCGAGAGCTGGACAGTGAAGAAAACATATAGGAAGAAAATCAACTAATTTGAGCTGTGGTACTGAAGAAGAGTGCTGAGAATCCTGTGGATGGCCAAAAGGATAATCAAATGGGTTCTTGAACAGATCAAGTCTGCACCATCCCTGGAAGCAAAGGTAGACTAAACTGAGGCTGTCGTACTTTGGCCACATTATAAGAAGGCATGACTGATTGGAAAATACAATAATGCTAGGAAAGGTTGAAAGCAGTAGAAAGAGAGGAAAACCACACACCAGATGGCTAGACTCAATTAGGGAGACCTAAGCAGAGTAGTGGAGGATAGGGGGGCTTGGAGATATCTCATACTCATACACATCAGTCGAGAACAGTTAACAACAATAACAAGAAACTCTCCTTGGTTTGAGTGTTGGACTATGACTCTGGAGACCAGGGTTTGAATCCCGGCATGGCCATGGAAACCCACTGGTGACCCTGGGGAAGCCATACTTTCTCTGACTCAGATGAAGACGAAGACAAAGCCACCCTGAACAAATCTTGCCAAGAAAACCTCATCATAGGTTTGCCTTAGGGTTGCCGTAAGTCAGAAATCACTTGAAGGCACACAAGAATCTCTCCCTATTCTTTCCATGTTATTTCTGATTTTGGGGCCAAAATTTTCTGTTCCAGAATTAATGCCCAGGAATGCATCTCCTTCATTAACTGAGATAAACCTGTACTTTTGTGTCACTGCTTCCCAGAAGTTTTTTAAAATTATTTATTTGTTAACTTTTAACACTAGCAACCTACTACTTCCCATATCTTTTAATGACCTTCCTAGGTGCTTTGTAGAGGATGTAGAAGTGATTGGTACAGGGAAATTTTCCAGGAACCAGAAATGCAGTTTAATGACAATATTGCTTCCATGGAGGATGTGTCCATTACACCATTTATGCCACTTTGGAAGAGATTTAACAGGCCATTGCTCTTTGTCCAGAGAACCCTGGGCATTTTGGTCCTTGTGCGTGCATCTTCAATTCCAGAATTGCATGTAGTTCCAGGCCTCCTCAAATGTTTTTTTCAGTACTGAACACTGACACACATTTTTATTGGTGGTGAATGATGCAACACATGGTTTACAGCAGAGAAATCTTCCAGCCCTTTCTCTAATGGAGTCCAGTATCCCCACATGGCCAATGGTAGAGTTAGGGCTCTAGACAGCTAATTCTACCCAAAGTATCCCCAGCCTGTAGAATCATAGAGTCTATAGGCTGGGGATACTCTGGGTAGAATTAGCTGTCTAGGGCCCTAACTCTACCATTGGCCATGTGGGGATACTGGACTCCATTAGAGAAAAGGCCAGAATCTTACCATTGGAAGGGACCACAAGGACCATCGAATCCAACCTCTTGCCATGCAGGAATACAGGACGAAATCATTTGTGAAAGATGCTCCAAAAATGAAGAGCCCACCACCCTCTGAGGCAGTCTGTTCCACTCTTCAACAGCTCTTACTATCAAGACATTCTTCCTAATATTTCATTGGGATCTCTTTTCTTATCATTTGAATCCATTGGTTCGTGTTGTAATCTCTGGAGCGGCAGCAAACAAGCTGGCTCCATCTTCTACATGACATCTTTTCAGATATTTAAAGAAGGCTATCATGTCATCATCTCTCAATATTCTCTTCTCCAAGCTAAACATACCCAGATCCCTATGCTTTGCTACACAGGGCTTGGTTTCCAGACCTTTTACCATCTTAGTCACTTTCCTCTGGATACATTCCATCTTGTCAATATCCTTCTTGGACTGTGGTGCCCAGAACTAGATGCAGCAATCCAGATGAAGACTGTCTGAAACAGAATTAGAGTAGTTGAGTCTCCCTTATCTGGAATTCTGAAATCCAAAATATTCCAAAAACCAAAACTTTTTTCATGGGTGGCTGAGATAGTGACACCTTTGTTTTCTGATGGTTCAGTGTACACAAACGTTGTTTCATGCATTAAATTATTTAAAATATTACAGTGGGACCTTGAGATCCACTGGGATTTGGTTCCAGAACACACACACGCATGCACGCACGCGCACACACACACACGGATACCAAAATCCATGGATGTTCAAGTCCCATTAAATACAATGGAACAGAAAATGGTCTCCCCTCTATAAAGTGCCAAAATCAATGTTTGCTTTTTGGAATATATCTATTTTTTTAATATTTTCAAGAAGTAAATAGTTGAATCCACGGATAAAGAATCTGTGGATAAAGAGGGCTGTCTGTATATAAAATGATCTTCAAGGTATGTGTATAAGATGTATATGAAACATAAATCTATTTTCTATGTTAGACTTAAGTCACATCTCCAAGATATATCTCATTATGTACATATATATAAATACAGGTATTCCTAATTTTAAAAAAAAGTCCAAAACACGTCTGCTCCCAAGCATTTTGGATACGGGAGACTGAACCTGTACTACAATTTCCTTCCATTTTGATACAATACTCCTGTTGTA